ACCAGATTCAGATCACAGAAGGTGTGGTCAAGGCTGCAGCAGAAAATTGGATCAGTGGAAATGATATCATACCACTCCTGCTTGAACAACGCGGAGACCAGATTCAGATCACAGAAGATGTGGTCATAGCTGGAGTAGAAAATTGGAGCAGTGGAAAAGATATCATAACACTCTTGCTTAAACAATGTGGAGACCAGATTCAGATCACAGAAGATATGGTCAAGGCTGCAGCAAAAAATCAGAGCAGTGGAAAAGATATTTTGGCATTCATCCTGGATCAACAAGGCAAACAGATCTGGATCACTGAAAATGCAGTATCCACTATGATCAGGGTCTTCGACGAAACCATGATTACAGTTCTGCTAGCTCGGCGAGGAAACCAGACCCAGGTTTTCCAAGAGGCGATCAAGGCTGTAGCAAAGGATTATAAGAAGCAAAGAGTATTTATCATTGATATCCTTAACCGACTTGAACACCAAACACACACTCTCACCAGGCAAATCCTATCAGTGATCAGAACGTTTCACCTCGCATTAGTGACAAAACTGCTACGGGAAAAAGGTGACAAATTTCAAATTACTGAGGCGTTTCTAAAAGCTGCAATAGAAAACCGGAATAGTGGGAAAGGAATTACAAAATTCCTCCTTAGTCAACAGAGGAACCAATTTCAGATCACGGAAGAGTTACTCAGCACTGCAGCACAAAACGAAAGAGATGGAAACGATATTATTGCACTCCTACTACATTATCAGGGAGATACTATCCATGTCACAGAAGGAGTGCTCAAGGCTGCCTCAGAGAATACTGGAAACGGACTCGAAATTATAAAACTTCTGCTAGGCCATCAGGGAGACCATGCCCAGATTACAAAGGACGTACTCAAAGCTGCAGCAGGGAACACAAGAAATGGGATGGAGATCATCAAATTTCTGCTCGACCAACAGGGGGATGCCGCTCAGGTTACAGAGGACGTACTCGAGGCTGCAGCAGGAAACACTGGAAATGGAACAGAAATTATTACATTTCTGCTTGACCGACAGCGACAGACCAAGATTCCAGAAGATGTGCTCAAGGCTGCAGCAGAAAACGAGTTAAGCGGAAAACCCATCATAGAGTTATTCCTCAGAGGACAAGGAGATGTGATGATAACAGAGAGGATCATTACAGCTGCCGCAGGAAATAGACGGAACGGAAAGGAGGTACTGGAATTACTATTTGAGAAGCAAGGAGAGCAGATAAAGGTCACTGAGGCGGTGATCAAAGCCGCAGCAGGAAATGAGGATAGTGGAGTTGACATTCTTGCTTTTTTGTTCGACCACTGTGAAGATGACATTAAGATCGCGGATGGTGTTGTGCTCTCGGCTGCTGGTTCTGGGAACGAAAATGTCCTTGCTCTTCTATCCAGCAAGATAGGGCACGCGATTGATCCTGAAATGCTATCCATCGCTCGACTCTATAATGCTGCAAAATCAGGCGAGGCGGTCATTGTGGAGCAGCTACTCATTCAAGGAACGCCACCAGATACGCGAAACATGCGAGGTGTTACACCTCTCGGGATTGCTGCTTCAAATGGACACCAGGAAGTTGTCAGAGTCCTTCTTCAGACACATCAAGTTGATGTCAATATTCCAAGCATAGCTGGGAGACCACCAATATTCTGCGCAGCAGCTAATGGTCATACTGGGGTAGTTCGCCTGCTATTACAGGCGGACGCCAACCCTAGAGTGACTGATACTAAGGGGGACTCCCCTTATAATATGGCTCGGAAGCGTGGCCACTGGGACACCGCAGAGCTTCTGGAAGAGCATTTAGATACTGATGTTCCTCAGGGCTAAGATAGAGACAGTACTACTTTAAAATACTTTGTTTATCTCCTTTGGGTCGCAGCATCATTGAATCTCTGGAATCTCTGCAGGACCAGCCAAGGGCCGCACTAGGTAATAATTACACCAGTGAAGAAGATCTGAATCATTCACTGAAGTACAGAGTACGCGCTTTTAGTAGTTGGCGACTCCTGTGGACCTACTACTGTTCCTGATCGTAGTACCTGTCCTGGCATTGATCATCACTTGCATCAACCCAGCATTCGGGTAGCCAAATGCTTCCATCTCCCTTCTTTACTTTAGGTTGGTATGCACACGGAAATTACATCCCATTGAATTCACGGTCGAATGCATTGTCTGGTCGTTTCAGGGCCTCAGCCTTCTCGAGTAGACCTTCAGATAGAGTTTTGTCAATCCAACAGACTCGAACATGCATCCAAGAGCCGTCTCCGCCAGCTTGAGGATTCAGCCATCATCGAGGATCCATCAATGTACCTAGAAGAGCAATGGCCACTGAGGGTGCAAAAATATATCAATTACTAGTGACTTCTTGCTGCTTTAGCAAGTTGAGAGGTGCACTTCTGGGCTTAGGGCATACGAAATAGCTTTAAGCGACGATCCGAAGGTAAAGAAAGATAGGGGCAGTCCTTGTTCCTTGATTTGGTCATAGAAGAGGCCACTGACAGATACCTCCATGCCAAAGAGAGAACTAGCTGTAGAGCAATACAAAACTGCAGTTCAGGTGATCTAACCATTTATCCTTTGCTACCACTATGACGCATTTCCAGCCATTATCAATATCAGTACATGAAGCTAGTTCGATTGGGAGGTCATTTGTCATTCTCTGCATCTATATCTACTTTCTTCATGCATGTACTATTGGTGCCCGACTTCTACGTCTTAAGGTAATGTGCAGGCTATCGGACTCCGTTCCAACCCGGCGCCACCGCAGCGCCACCTCCCAGTGAGTATAATATTGCATCAATCAGACTGCGCTACAAGAGAAACCATTGAACCAACCCCACTTGATAATGCTTAATCCTGCTTAGCATTTCCAAGTGGAGAAGAATGCTGATATCCTTCACTCAGCGCGATGGATAGCCAGATAGATAATACTCGCCCTTCTGAGACTCGTTCTCATCAACCGAGTCAGGAGTCATGATGTGGGTGTCTCAATGACTCTTTTGCCGCTCATCATGGCTGCCCATCCGTGGACTTAGTTCAGGGTGCTCGGGTGACGCCAATGCCATTCTGCCCACGCACGTTGGTCCGGCGCAGAATAACCTCAAAAGGGCTATGGTGTTGAATGATACTACCAATGGGACGAATGTGGGGTGTGGCTCGGAGGGAGTCCGTGCCGTCAGGTGTAGGTTTTCTTAGTATCTGGTGAGTAGTGGAATAACAGGGGTTTATGGGACCCCGCGGCGAGCTGGGCACGCCGAATCACCCCAAGATGAGGAACTTGTTCTTGTCGTTCCATAGCACAGGAATGTAGAGAATCAACCTAGGTGGATAAAATTGGCGCGGTAAGGAGCGAAAGAAGTATCAACTATGTACAAGCAGCAATCCATTATCCAATCCATCACCAGCTATTCCATCTCGTCAGAATTAAAAGGTCAGAGTCTGGCCGGCGGTTCCAACAACGGCAGCCTTGACCTTGCTGGATCCAAGCAGAGAGTACGAGTACGGAACGCTGGTCAGGGTACCCTGAAGGGCGGTGTTCTGGGCACCACCGAAGTCATTGTCCTTGGAGACGGCGTAGCCGCTGTCAGTCGAGTAGAGGGGCTTGCTGGAGCCGACGAACTGGTTGGACTCGACGAGGACCTGGGCGCCGTCGCGGGTGTTGATACCATCGCTGACGGTGTCGAAGTAGCTGTTGTAGACGTGGCCGGTGCCGAAGCGGAGGGAGGGGGCGCGCGAGTTGATGTTGTGCCAGTAGTTGTTGGCGTAGGTGACGCGCAGGTGGCCCTTGTCCTCGGCGCCGTTGCTGTCGGAGTGGCCGACCAGGGACGCCTTCCAGTGGTCGTGGATGTAGCTGTTGGAGATGGTCACGTAGTCGGCGGCGTGGGTGAGCTGCAGTTGTCAGTGTATTGTTGCATTTCCAGTTGACTAGCACGTACATCAATCAGACCGTCGTAGTAGTCCTTGTCGTGGTCACGGTCAGAAGAGACATCGACGTGGTCGATCCAGACATTGTTGGAGTATTCTGTCATTCATTAGTCGAGTACATTGGCAAAAGAAGGGATACGTACGAACGCCAATGGCATCTCCATTGGCAGCCAGAACCTTCTTGACTCCAATGTTGCGGATGATCACGTTGGACTTTTTCTTGACCAGCCTGTCCACAGTTAGTCACGTCCACAGAGTGCAAACGAGAGTACGTACAGGCCAAATCCCTCGAGAACAGCGTTGGAATTCTTGCCGATGATGCTGGTGTTGCTGCCAACCTTGACCTGGTCGGCCGTCTGCTTGATGGGGCCGCTGACATAGACCACCTTCTTGGCGTCGCTGGAGACGGCAGCCGTGAAGGCTGCGTATGAGGAGACGGTGGTCGTAGTACCGCCGGCACCACCGGTGGTGCCTCCGTTCAAGCTCGCGTAACCAAAGGCAGCCTTACCAGTCAGCATCTAATCGCCAATCTCATCAGAAGAACATACATCGTTGGCGCTGGCACGCTTCTCCAACTGGTTGATGGTAGCGGTAGGAGCAGCCAGGGCCAGTCCAGACAGACCACCAGCGACGAGAGCAGCAAGGAACTTCATGATTGTTATGTTGAAAGTAAAGCAAGTACCAGACTTGACGAGCGAAGAGAATAGAGAGAAGGAAAGTAAGTGAAGAGAGCGGATAAGAATCAAGACCAAGCCTGTTGAGCCTGGAGAAACAAACCTCATCGCAGGCGGCATCAGGGAGCTTTATATACCTGGGAGCCCCTATATTTCCTAATCGGGCAGTGCAGCGGTATATCTCAGACACGCTGCTCAAACTGGAACAACAGGCCAAACACCAGTCCTCTTGGCGGCCAGTCTTGGCCACGGCACCTATCCTCGAACGGCTGCAACGGAAGAACCGTCTCCATAGGTGGACGGACTCCCCAGCGATCAGCGTCACACGACTCCAGATTCGGCCAGGACGATGGTATATTGCAGAAAATAATTTCCGTCCGCTGGACGCACCGCATTATGTTTATCCCTGTCAAGCACGGCCGCCAAGCCCATAGGCGGTCGGCATATACCCTTGTCTCACAGGGTCTGATCAACATCGATGCAGAAGCCAAGGCTGGGGATTCAGCGGGGTAGAAGCCTCCGGACAGCGTTGGAATGACGTTCGATGCCAGCGCACATGATTGAGGTATCCAACATTCGATCGGCAACGGCAAGTGTTCAAGAGTCGTAGAATATCCACAAATGACGGAGTCGTGTTTCAAAGCTTGTCTGGGCAGTTCATTGCCAAGAAAGCCGGGGTTTGAGCTGCCATATTGGCATTTGTCGTGATAGGGGGCGTGACTAGTCAAAATTAACGCTGGCGAGAGATTTTCATGAGAGCAACAGTATTTTCCATCAATTGCATTGCGATCACAGGAAAATGAGTGCCTTGACGAATCCAATCGTGACGAGAATGTTGTCCGAACTTGTCGATCTGGGGAGTCGTATCCCATGACCCATTGTGATGATCAACGCGAGGGAATCTACGCGACAGGTGGAATTGAAGACTTTATGGAATAACAAGAATTTCCGAGGATAAATCAATCCGCGGTCCAAGAGCTGATAGCCATAGCAGAAGTGTAGGAGCGCGCACAGGATGCTGCATGGAATATGGGTCAAACAAGAAACAGGGGCTCTGCCAAGTCAAGCCGCGATCCGGATCCTGACTGTCCTGACTGACTCGTGGAAATTTGATCAAGCGCTATCAATCTGGCGCATTACGTGGACGAGTCTCGCATAATGCGTACATTATTATTGCGTGCTCTTGTATTCGTATGATCCCAAAATGCAATCTATAGACACAACACTCAAACAGCCGAATATGACGATGATAATATCCAAATATGCAGATCCCGCAATGCTATGCATTATGTCCCCAATTGCCCGTCCAAGGTATTCACAACGATGATATGCCGTGCCGACCAAGTCCCAAACTCCAGTCGACAGAACTCCAGTCCCAAATCCCATCCGCTAGATATGATAATCCTTTTCAAACGAATATAGCGACTCCTGCTCCTCCATCGGCGTCGGAATGCTGAGCTTGGTCGCGTCGAACTCCCACGCTGCCTCGCGCGCCTCCTTTGAATTGCGGATATAGAAAGGCAGCGTCCACTCACGCAGTCGGCCCTCCAAGAGGCCCATGTCCTTGTGCTTTTCCCACATCCGCCGAGAGGACTTGAAGGCTTCGTTGACCGTCTCCCGTCGCAGGTCTTCGTAGGCTCTGAATGCCTCCGTGAGCGGTTCATCACGGTACCGCGCTAGAATCCGAGAAAACACAATCGCGTCGTCCAGCGCATACGCTGCTGACTCGTCGCGCGGAGGCATCTATACTGCTATTAGCTTGAGCACATATCCCCAATTCAAGATAACATACTGCATGTGCTGCGTCTCCCAGCAGGATCGCTCGCTGGGTATGCCACCGCCCGCCAGGCCGAACCTGGTACACCGGATACAACATCCAGTCCGCCGGGGTATGGATCATCTCGCGGATGCAGGGGATCCCCGACTTTCCAAATCGATCCTGCATCTCCTCCTGCAGAGCTTTCCGGATGGCATGCTGCTTCCGCCAGTCCTGGCCGGCCTCGATCCGGTACCGCGGGAGCAGCTCCTCGGCGAACTGCACAATAGCCGCGAGGAAAATCTGCTCCTGCTCGCGGTCGCAGTAGCTCGCTAGCAGCGTGCCATGCCGGGAGATGTTCATGGATGTCGAGCGGAAGTGGGTGCGGGATTTGAGCGTCTTCGCATCGACGACGCCCTGCAGGAACGAGATTCCCGTGTACTCGGACGGAGACTCGGGTGCGACCCATTGCG